TTCCCTGAAGTGACACTTTCCCAAGATCCACATCTAGCCATGTGTGATATAGATCAACTTTTAGCCACACAATATCTGCTGCCTTTCTAATGTTGGCAAGATCTCCTTTGCTATCCAGCTGCTTCTCAATGAGATTTATGTACGTGAGCCCCTCGTTTACGCCGTGTATCAGATTTTTCATTGAACCACTGCTGATGTTTGGAAGTGCAACAGCAATACTTGTTAGTGTCACAACAGGAAGAGCCCAACAATTTGGAGGCTCTCCACAGTCTAGAGAGGGAACTTGGTCACTGTCAAACTCTGCCACTCCTTTGAATCCTTGTGAGGCTGTTGAGTTCTCCAAGAGCTTGATGAGATATATGGGCTCTTCTTTCTTTCCTTTCTGAATCCAATAATTAGTAGCATCGCAATTTGTATTCATCATGAAATGAACCAATGCATCCTCACCTTGAAGATACAAAACGTAATCGCTAAGATCTTGCCTTCGGTTTTGTTGTAACTCTGGTCCAGTGTCGAATTCAAACTTCTTGATCTTCCACTGTTTGAAGATGTCGTGGAGTAAAAAGAACCGACTTACAAAGAAAATGGAAATGAATCGGATCACTTTACTCAATAGGACAATCCCCTTCTGCATTGCAATACATAAGTCCAAGAGCTTGTTCCTTGCTTGATGAGCAAGTTTCCTGCAGTGCCTGTTTTGGATTCTAAAGTTTAAAGGACACTTCTGCAACTCTATCAGTCCCTGAACCCAGTACCTTTCAATTTCAAATTCCTTTTTGTAGCTCATGTTTCCTCTTATCGGGCACTTGAAATTTATCGCCATGAACCATCTAAATGCTGGAGCAATGGTACCAACTCCTACTGCAATAGCCTGTGTAAATAGGATCAAAGTGGTTGTCAATTTGTAGTCTGATTCGCCGGTGCAAAACTTTATCGACCAGGGCATCAAGTATGTTCTAAGCACGGCTTCTGCCAAAATCATGGCACCAAAAAGACAGAAAGCTCCAGAAGCAGTGCATGTCACCGAACGGCCCATCACAAATTGGGGGCTAGAGGTGTGAGCCATCACCCAGAGTTTAGTCAATATCTCCTTGAGTCTGTAGACCTCTCTTCTGAAACTTCCATTTTTGCATTCTGCATCAGACAACTGGTACCTTTTCTTGTACCCTTTTTCTAAATAATTTTTGGTGGTAGGAACAGATAAAGCAGAGAAAATCAACATGAGGAGCAAAACAAGCATGATGAAAATAATTGAAGCATGCTCCTTCCAGAACACAAAGATTGCTCCAGTGGCTAATTGGATGCAGATGTTGACAATAAGGGTAATGACTAAAATTCCCAAAGCAATTACATTCATGAACATCTCTTCATTCTCCATGGCTCCAAGAGAAGGCATGGAGTTTCCCATTGCTGTGCAGATCAAGACAGAGCTGCTGAGCTTTGCGAGCTGATCTTGGCGGTTGGGCATGGGAGTGTTTAGATCCACTGACAATTTCATTGCCACACCTATCAAGGTCAGAGAAGTGGCATTGATGGAGAAGAACTTGCAAGGGAACCAGAGTTTATGGTGCCGGAAGCCGAGGATTATATCTGCTGCCATTGCAATTAGGCAGGCAAAGGATGCTGCTGCTACATACATGCCAATCCAAGGCATTGGTGTACTAAACTTCTCCTCATGCAGGAGACCATTCATGTCACAGCCTCCCATATATATCTATTTTTTGTCTTCTCAGGTGATATATATATATTTTCTCTTGGGAGAGAGCTTTTTGTTCTGATTCTTCTGCTGAATATGTTATCTGATCAAGAACTAAGTCTTCCTGGTTTTAAATACTTTAACATGTTGACACTGTTACATTCCTTCTTTAATGTTTGACTTGTGTATGGAAGAATGTTGGATGAATTTGAGTATATTTTTTGTTTTTGTTGTTGGATTTTTCTATTTAGAGCAGCCTGAGCAGGTTAACTTTTTTTGTTGCTTACTGATCATGGGAGTCGAGTGGAGCAGTTTAGGCTTTGTTTTAGTAATAATTTGTCTGTATCTCGCCCTTCTTATCATATAGTTTCTTGAAATACACTCGTGTATTATATAGGTAATAGGTGCGTAATGTAACGATAGAGGAGAAGTTTGTGTGAACGTAATATTGCCAAATCTCGTATTACTAATTCCCGTGTCGTAATATTGGTGGACGACATTTTTGAAAAATTACTTATGAGTTATGATAAAGGCGCTAAATTTTCAAACACATTATATCAAATTGATATGTTAATTAACAATTTGAATATTTACCACATCTCTAATAGATATATGTAAAAAGACCGTCTATAACAAAATCCAAAATGAGTTGTTGAATGTAAAACCTCTTCTAACATTTAGAATAAAAATACCATTAAAATACGAGCTAGTTTATAATCAAGTAATCTAATTTAATCATTCATGTTTGCATGCTTTCCGCCACAAACAAAGCATGGTTGTCTTGTCTAAGATTTGATTTAAACAACCATAATGAGTAAGAGTGAGAGAATAGAATAGAATAGAATAATAAACTGAAAGTTATTGTCGGCCAAATAAATGAATAAACATCTCTCATGTTAATACCTATCTTTGGTTCAATTCATGAATGAAAACCTTGAAATCGTCATTGAAATAACCACCATTTGGATTTTATGTTTAGAATTGCTTAGGTTCAATCTTTAGACTATTCTCGTACTCTATTTTATCTCACCTTCGGTTTAATAATAACTAGTCCCTAAGTTTGTGCCAATTGATAGTTTAAGGTGAAATTAGTGTTATAATGTAGGATAAATATTTTTGAAAGAAAAAAAAATCAGGGATTCGGGGATAAATATTCTTGAACACCATACTCTCACACCACAACTCCCTTCTATGTAAACGACACACACACAAACTGAGTTGTTGCTCCCCACTTGATACTCAAGTGAACCCAAGAGAATCCCCTCTTGATTTTCCTGGAGTTCGTGGGACTGCTTGCTTGCATCTCACAAGCAGCCCACTCCCACTTATATTTGCCCCTCACTGGTTTGACACACAGCACACATCGCTTGCATGCACAAGCCTCTCAGCTGCTGCATATTAATAGGCCATTGCTCAACGTGAAAAGCAAAGCTTTTCCAACACTCCTCCTATGTCGTCGGCAGCACCAATGAAGACCAAAGTGTCTTCAATTTCAA